GCAGACACTCCGCTTCACGCGAGGTCACGGGAAGCAACGTCCAGATCGCCCACATCTCCCTCCCAACCACGCAGAAAGTCCAAAGTGTCACCGCCCCTTGGCTGAGGAGTCCGGAGTCGTAGCACATCGCAAGCAACATCGCAAGCAACATTGCTCGACGTGCAATGTTGAGCATTGGCATAGTCTTTGGCAAAATGGCTCATAGAGGAGTTCCCAGTCAACATTGATTAAGATGATTTCCTGAGCAACACAAGGAAAAATAGATAAAAATAGCGGTTCCCACTGTACTGATGGCAGGAGACAATATCATGTTTGGTCATTAGGTTCTCCTCTTTGTTTGGGGTGTGGAGTCGTTGTTGCTTGATCAAGACTTTAGTCTTTTGTCAAGTCTTTTTGCTCGAATTCATGGATAAAGCATCCAACAAGGACAAGCACTTGCTTTTACTTTGTCCTTTTCAAGAAGGATTGGGTGTTTGTGATCAGATGCCTTAAGACTTTCTGGTTTGATTGGCATGCGTTTCAACACACTGCTTGCAGTACTTGTTGGGAGTCAATTCGGATGGTGAGTGGAGATGTGAAGTACGATCGTGAACATATATTATCAGTGAGTGAGTGAATAAGTGAGGGAGCGAGTGAATGAGATTGAATGAGTGTAATTATCTGTGAATCAGGGACTGAGAGTCGAGTTGAGTCGAGTGGAGTGAACTTGGTAAGAGTTAGCTGGCTGGCTGTGAATTGAGCCGATGTGAAATGAGTTGGTCTGAGGCAGGCAAAACGCAGGGGGAAAGAAATAGATGTCCCTTTCTCCAGCTTGCTGCGTGCCTTCGCACGGGCCCGGAAGCTTCGAGCGTCCAAGAAGCCGAGACAGACACGGATAAGAGATGATAAAGATACGTACGATATGAATGCCGCATGCCACACGCTGAGCTAGGTAGTCCAGGGGTATAAATAGAATAAAAGCAAGGCGGTTTAACCAGCTCAAAACCTAGAGTCAGAATTCGAAGCCCCGAAAGACTCCAAAGCGACAATCGAGCGAACGACGAAGCCGGCCAGTGCACCTTTGCAGACCTGAAATATCCTGCAACAGCCTGAGAACCTTTACGAGTGGAAGGTGATTACAACACTCACAAACGTAGCAGGTGCACGAACCGACGTTTCCATCCGCTTTCCCTCCAGCGATTTAGCTTCGTTGGACAAGGTTCATCGCTGGAGGCCTTGCCCCCCTGCTAAGTATTCAGGAAGCCGTCAGGCTACCCGTGAGTCCAGGGTGTACACATACATGTAGGATGACACACATGTAGGATGACACTCTTGTCACTCTTGTCTATGATCTCCAAATCTGCCGCTGAGGAGTTTTTGTTTTTTTCACGCACTCTTGTCACAGCGGATCATGAATCACATCCAAGATGCGACTGGTTGTTGGCACCATGGTTCTTTGATGCCCCAGCACGCGCTCCACCAAGGCCAAAGCAGGAATGGAGGCCGTGGGCACCGGTCGGTGCTGGTGGGCAGTTGAGCATCGCACTGAAATGCAAGGACTGAGATCTACTGCCCGGGCTTTCCGGTCATTACAGTGGAAGATGAGGCACAGCATCCGCCACAAAAAAGAAGATGACATGCTGGCTCCTGGAAATGAGTGCCGCGAGGTGGAACTGCAGCAAACAGATCCTTCAAGGCTTCCCAGCGGTTCTGCCGCTTCTGTGTTCCGTACTCGTGGGTATCCCTTCAAGGACCATGGTCGCCAAGAAACAGCTCCAACTCTCCGAGGTGCTGCAACCTCATGCAGTCCCTTGGAAGATTCTGACACGCACAAAACCTTCCAGGTTGAGGTTCCACGTGGACCAGCAGATGTCGGGGGCACTCCGGCTGATACAATGGAGGCCCGGCCGCTGTTCTTCCAAGATATGTTTCCTCCTTTGCGAATTGGCATGGCGACAGCCAGTTGCTTAGTCACTTAGTCATCAGGTAGTCACACAACACTGGATCAGCCCAGAAGGCAGTCTGCCTGCCACAAAGGCGCTTTGATTTTGGGTTTAGTGGCACACAAAGAATTGGAGCAGAGATTTATTCATCCCTTACACCCTACCGTGGTTGAATCATTTGTGTTGTCATGTCTGTAAATTGCATCCGCAGGTGTTAAGCACCCACACTGCACCAGAGAAGAAGGAGGATTGTGAATCCCAGGCTAGGCATTCTAAGCCACCAATGGAAAAACATTGAAAAACAATGAAAAGCATAAAGCATTATAAGATGAAGGTTTGAGGCGGAGGTCACTCAGGTTAGGCGTACGGAGCTTTAACTTCAAAGAAACCTCTAAATGGAAAGTCTCGGAGTCTCATAGCAATCAGTATGAAAAGAAACAAGGCCACGGTGTGCCACGGCCTTTTTGCTTTTTCACGGTGGTGGAGAAAGGCCACGGTGTGCTCGAAGTTGGGCCAAGAGGTGTCCTTCAATGAGGCGAGAGCTGCTCCGGAGCGAGCTTCGTCGAGCTTTCCGTTGGTCTTTTCACTCAACCAGATGAGATAGGTGCATGGCGACCATGAGACATTGAGCGGACGTCCTTGGAATTCCAAACAGTCCCCAGCGCCGAGGCTCAAACAACGCAGCAGGTCGTCCCAGGCATTGCAGGCAGGGCTGCTGGCTCAGCCAGAACCGTGGACCGTAAAGTATGGGTTTGGGCGTCCTGCAGGTCCAAAGGCCTTTGTCCTTGACGACTCCAAGAAAAGTGTTAGTCCAGATCTTAGCCATCGTCGTTCAATCGGCCTTCACTCAGCAGCGTGTTCCGGGCATTGATGAGAAGGCTAGTCGTACCACATGAGAAGGCTTGTCAACCTTTGTGGCAACCCTGAACTCCTCATCAGACCTCGCATGTGCGATGGAAGCCACAGAACAACACCGAATGCAGCGTGAACTTGGGTTCGGAGGCATTGGTGATCGAATTGAAGGGATTCGAGCCTGCTTGGAGGCTGGTGAAAAACTTTGTATAATGTTGCTCCTCCTGAATCACTCTGAATTGAACTTGCCTGCACCAAGGCAAGAATGGGAACGCAGAGGTTCCAGGACTTCAGATCAGATTGTTGATTATTTTATATATATATATATTATTGTATATTATTGTATTTGTGTATGTATATATATATATTTTTTGGCATTTGACACACATTTAAGCAATGCTCCCACCCGGCTCCGTAGCAGCCCCGCCAGCCCAACTTGATTGTTTGTTGCGTGAAAACAAAAGATGACTCTGCAGAAGCTGTACAAGAGCCTCACGAAAGATGATGCAGCTGTGGGCAGCTCAGAGAATCACCATCTGAGATGTCCATCGACAGTGCACGACTCGATCTTCTCAAAACACATCATCCGTCTGACTCCAGAGTCTACCAAGTTGCCATGTGAGGTGTTCTCACCGGCAATGACCGCCATAGATCGAAATAGGGAAGGTTTTATGTTTGATATGTCAAAGAGTTCATCATGTCCATATATATATATATATATATATATGTCCATATATGTCCATGTCGTCCTCTTCAGGATTCTTTTTGGAACACCTCACCTGAATCCACCCAGGTCAACAGCTTGTCCGGCTCATCCGTCTCCTGGCGCGCCTGCCTTCTCGCTCGGGCTCGAGCCGTTCGTTCGGGGTTCCGCGGTGCGGTCGGCGGGGCGGTCGCTGCCGTCCAGGCCCCGGGACTCGTCGATGTTTCTGCCCGAAGACATTGATGAGGCCGGAGAGATACGACCACAGGGAGTCTGGGACGACATGGTGAGAGCCGGGGGCGGTGGTGCAGCGCTGCTTCCTGCCGGCCGCGGTGTTACCTGGGGTCGGTGTTGCTCGAAAAAAAGGGACTTTTGTGGGGCAAGTGTGGGGCTGGAGTTCGAGTATGTTCGAGTCGCGCTCTCTTTTCAGGCCTTCATTGGAGCCGGAGATGGAGGGTCATGCTTTGCATGTTTCAACGATCAGCGGTTTCCGTCAGGTGGCTGCGCCGAAGCTCGGCTCAAATCGCTTGGAAAAACTCCTGGCAGGTCAGATGATGTGAACTCATTAATCCCGTTGGTGGCAAAGCTTGTAGCTTGCGAACAGAGCTATTTTAGCTAAAAGGCTAAAGGACGAGCATGTCGTGCTGCCGGGCTCCTGTAACCTTGGTCAAGACAAGCTTAAGCCTTAAGCGAAGAGCTTTCAGTCTCTGCGAACCGCGGCAGCTCGATGAAAGCTCAACGTAGTCGGGACTGTAAGTGGCTCAAATTGAAGTTTCTTACAGACAGAATTTGCTTGCATAGATTCTTCGGCCAGCCTGAGCGCAAGTCGAAAAGATCTAATTTGCTTCCACCCCTAGGGCTATCAGGCCAAAGGAAGTGGCCCTGCTGTGCCCAGCTCCGGTCTCACCGGAGCTTGTCGTGTGGATTTGAGAGTTTTGTTCAAATGAGTGGATTGATGCAGTGTATGGTCAGTTGATGGTTTGTGGATGCCTTTCGTTGACCGCTTTCAATGTCTCACCACATGCCGGTGTTGGGCGCCGGACTAGCGTCCGATGAATGCACAATAATGGACATACGATAAAATCAGGAGCAGGAGCCCTAGCATTGGCGTGTTGACTCTGGCTTTATGCCATGCATGACTAGTAGCCGCGTGGGTTTCACACGTAATCGACCAATTCAAGGGCCTGTACAAAGAAATTTGGGCTGCTTTGATCGTAAACCTCAAGGTGGCTCAGCTGCCCGAGAGAGTGTCTCTTTGCATGAGTTTAGCCGGCAATTAGTTTTGGTCATGGCCAGATGGTTGTGGCTGGCCTAGGGCGTCAAAGCTCGGCCTTGCCATTGGTGCCAAAAAAGGGCATGTCCAACTGTGCACTTGACATCACTTGACACGGCGATGCAAGCAAGTTTAGCTTTCCCGCCAATATGGTGTCCACCACAACAAAATACACCAAACACTCAGTGCTGGAAATATCACATCACATCCGAACTCTTGGGGCAAGTATACCACACCACACCCGACGCAGGTTCAAGTGCCAAAGTATACCGACTTTCAATCTTGGCTCGGAGGGCTGATCGACATCTTAGTTCACTCCGACCTGTTTGCAATCCGATCGACAGCTGTTTTTCTTTCACCCGGAGGCTCCTTCGAATCTGTCGGTCTTTCTCGCGACCCAAAAAATAAGAAAAAAAACCTGCTTGCTCATTGCAAGACGGAATGATGTGCAAGATGTGAAACGTTTCACGGCAGTTCTTCGCTGACTACCTCCTGTCTTTTACGGGCTTGAGCCTGTTGAGAAGTATGGTTCTGAAGGCGGGAGCAGACGAGGACGAGCAGACTCGGGAGCAGACACAGCGAAGCTGCGGCACGCCGAAAACCACGGCCACATCGGTGAACGCGCTTCAGGTTGATGAAAAGATCAACGAATTCAAGGACAAGGTGGAGATGAAGGCGAGAAACGGCGACCTGGTGATGATTCTGAAGGCAAACAACTGCCATTGGTTCAAGACACATGCCATGCCAGGTTCTTGGGTCATCATCCAGTGTGGCGAGGGACTCACAGGCAGTGCTTCTTGTTCTTTTTCAGACTTCAGACATCTCAATCTGACGACACTCTAGCAGATGATACACCGCAGGCCACAGGGACAGAGCTCCGACAGCGCCGCAAAGCTGATGAGGCGACTGCACTGCTAGTGGATCTCCATCACCACGCTTTTTTAATACACACACTGACACAACCTTATTCTACAGTAATTCAATCCTAATTCTCATCATTCTTGCTGAAGAAACCTTTGATCACATGAGCGTGTGCAGCCAATGAAACGGAGCTTGAAGTGGAAGCACTTGATTGATGCTTTTGAATCTGAGAGTGTTTCGGAGTGCCCTGTGGGAGGCAGAGGAGGATATAGGCATTTGAATGACCAACGATACTTGATCTTGTTTCGCAAAGAAGAGACAAGATTCATCAAAAGGTCAATGAATATTCTAAATTTGTCTAAATTCAATTATGTTTTTAATAGATTAAATCCATTATAGTAGGATAATTTATATTAGTTCAAGATAGGTATAACGATATTTCACAATATATTTCCCACGTGGAGGTACGAATGGGTAATATATACGATTTGGGTATGATATAAATATATTATTAAGATATAGATTTTAATCTATTTGTAGTTTTATTATATATATATTTATATATATTTATATTTTATTATAAGCGCCACTTTAGTTCGAATTCGGTAGCTATTTTAGTACCTTTTCGTGTTTATGTTTTTACCTTTTTTTCTGGTGAAAAAAAAAAAAAAAAAAAAAACAAATTTGGATATGTTGATGACGATTTCGTGGCTGCTTTCTTTTGTGATATTGTTATTTGGACAGTTGAGATATTGGGTCCTAAATGTTGGGGGTATGATACTCATTTCTCCGGTTACGTAAGCTGGAAGATCCATGCTTGGTGCGAGGGTTACTACCAAGACCTCACTTGGTGGTGAGAGTGTCGATGCTACGCTATCCTATTTAAGGCCAGACACAAAATTTCACGAGGTTTGGGCGACATTAGGCTACGGCCGAATTATGGATCCATTTAGATGCAAAAGAATTAAGAGGAGCTTTTATCGAGCCTGCAAACGGACCTTTAAATACGGCTGTATACAATATCGTGGAAAGGATTTTTGGTATTCCAACATCCCGTTTAGGATTCGTTAACAATTGACACATGAGGCTATTCTGCCAGACATGAAGGTCAGATCTTCTATTCCGCCAACACGACCAATTGAATCCTTGAATATATTTTGCTGGAACGCTTCCAACGGGCTTCTATTGGACGAATGGGTGACCTGACTCTCCTAGACATTATATAATGTAGCTATCCTGCAGGAAATTGGTGACTGGTACATGCTGCATTCGCATGGCCATCGTGCCATTGTTCTCTGCATGATTCGACGATGCCTGTTGCGCCCTGATCATTGGCTTGGAGTGAATTGTGTCCAGGCCGGCTCATTCATGTCCGGTTACATTTAACCCGGATCCACGATATCATTTGTGTTTATCAGCATTCCTGGAGTTCTCTGAAAGACCGTCACACCCTTCTCCAAGACCGATTTCAGGTATTTGAAGCCATCCGTCAATGTATTCACCATGTTCCGAAGAGTTACATGTTGTTGCTTGCAGGTGATTATAACACCCCACTGACAGCCGACGCACCTCATGTGCACTCACGTGACCCCAAGTATGGTCAAACATCCCATTGTGATAAACAAGACTTTCAATCCATGATTCGTGACTTGGATTTGGTTGCCGTTCACTGCCAACATCACTGGTAACCTACTTTCAAATACGGGGATCACACTAATCGAATAGACTTCATGTTTGTTCGTCGTCACCAAGTTCAATGGACCAAGCATCGTGCCCAGGTACTGACTCATTTCGAGAGAACTGTTGGCAGCAGTGCCCCTGTGCACCACCCTTTGGTCATATCCTTACCTCGATGGTTTGCCCCACCCCGACAACAACCTCCGATTAACCGCCATCGACTGAGGCTTGAATATCAGTCACAGACTAAGAACTGGCTCTCCTTCGAAACGGAAGTCATGCACACAGTTCGCACACATACTGACCCACCAAAGTCGGATGATCCTATCACTACATGTATCCAAGTTGAACAGGCCATACGCCAGCTGTGTCTGAACCACTTCCCAAGGGTACGCCAGCACCGCCCTCTGTGTTCTCAGGTCAAATCCCTGGCTGCTCAAATGTGGTTTGCCAGACGCCAACTGCTCCGTCTTCGATCCGTCTCCATGCAGGCAGTTTTTCAATTCGAGAAACTTCACACAGTCATCAGACGTCAAAGTCGGCAAAATCGTAAAAACCGTTTAGATACTTTTCTTGCAGAGAGTGTCCCCTTCGTCCTTCAGAACAAGCTGCATGATTGGTACAAGCGGATTCGTACCCTGTGCCCCAAGCACTCATTCAGGCGGATTCAGCTGTTTGACATGCATGGTGCACCGTTGTCCCAAGCCCAAGAACTTGAACGTTTGACCCAATACTATCAGGAATTGTTTACGGACTCTCAAGCGCCTATCATGACCCCACCAGCACTGAATCAGTTGCCATTCACTGAGGCTGATGTACTTCATGAACTTCAGCACCTTCCTGTGACGAAAGCCCTTTCCTGCACTTATATGGCGACACTTTGCGAGCATTCTGACACCAGTGATGTTTCCATGCATCAGTCAGGCATGGTGTCCAAAACCAAAGTCTACCCCCGTCACATTGGTCTGCAGGCTGGCTCCACCTACTAGCCAAGCCCAATAAAACACCTAATCAACCAACTGCACTTAGACCGATATGTCTCTAACACCCAGTGCATAAGGTCATGTCCAGCATTCACTGCCGCTTATTCCTCGAAAAGGCACACGGCCCCCTCAGCCAGATGCCCTTATACGCGTACATGCCTCACCGAGGCACACGTGAGTGTTTGCTGACGGTGTCCCACCATTGCCGTCTGGTGAGAGAACTCTGCATTGCTCATCGTAAAGACGATGACAAAGCTGGGCTTTGGGGAGGCCTTCAAATCTCGCTAGATATGGAGAAGGCATTCGATACCATCAGCAGGCAGCAAGTTTCCAGGGCTCTCCATGCCTTTGAGGTCTCCGATGACCTCCAATCGTTAGTGCACTCTTGGTTGACCCCCCATACTTCATTCCCTTCAAGGAAGTTGTAGGTAAAATCCAGACCACGGGTGGTATACAACAAGGATCAAAAGATGCCCCGCTCTTTTGGAACCTTACGATGTACCTCATCCTTCAAGACTTACTTGCCCAGTATGATCATGCCTGGATCTTAGAACACCTGGTAGTGTACGCAGACGATTTGCATATGCGTTGGATTGTCCAATCACCAGCCGATGGATTGCGCGCAATGCACGACCTGTCCTTCCTGATGAGGGTATTTGGAGCCTATGGACTGAAGATAAATCCCACTAAGAGCTTTGCTATGCTTCGCCTTGTTGGGAAGGCCCTTCCTTCGTTCCAGAAACGCTGGATTAATCGCACGGCCAATGGCCCCATGCTCCGACTGCCTGACATGGCAATCACTGTGCCGCTGGTTGCCAAAACGACCTACCTTGGTGTCATTATTTCGTACAGAGCATGGGAAGTCCATACGACCAAACGTAGACTCACAGCTGCCCAAACCTGCTTTCGAATTCTGCGGAGGTGGCTCCTAGACAAGCATCATCCATTGCAGACACGGATCAGATTTTACCGTCAATGCGTTCTACCTACGGTCCTCTATGGAGTGATTGAAATGGGCCTGACACATCATGGCAGTTGTACCATCGTAGGCTGTAGGCATGATCAACAAACACCTTCGATCGATGGCACATGCACCTGTCCATCTCACTCGAATCCCAACTCAGGAATTTTTCCACAGTCTTGGCTTGTCACCACCGTGGCACATGCTTCAACGACACTATGATAGATTGATTCATTCCTTGAGTCACCGTCGGTCTTCCCTTCGAGCCTCAGCCATGGCGTCCATGCCTAGTGATGCTGGAGTTCATGTCCCAGACTATCCAGATACATCCATTCCATTCCCGTCGACCCACACTGATCCGTGCACTCAGGTTCCGGTCCTCAAGTGCCATGAATGTCACCGAGCATTCATTCAGGCAGGTCCGTATAAGCGTCACCTCAGGGAACATCACCAAATTCCCTGTAGTCCTGAAGCTCTTTATAATCCTCTACGTGACACGACCAATGGACACCCCACCTGCAGACATTGTCATAAGACATTCACTGATTTCTACCGTCTTCGTGATCACATCAACAAACGTGCGTGTTTACTTTTCAATGCCTCGCAGGACCAGATCGTGCCCATTTGTGATCGACCTGACCTCCGCATGCATCTCAGATACAAAAGCATTCCTGGCCTTCTCCTCAACAAGGCCTTGATGAAGGAACTCTCCAATCATTGTGCCTACTGCCATAGTGCCATCGCTGCTCGCTCGATCCGCCGGCATTACCGTGACTGCCATACACAATTGCTGCCCTTTGAACCACTACATCGGGAACAGGTCTATGGTCTTGCTAACCTTGGCAGTGGCAAGGGCAATTGCATTCTTTGTGACCAGTCTTGCAACAACGTCCGAACACATCAGTGTGGTGTCCTCATGCAACTGAGCATCATGCTTGGTCAAACCTATGATGTTAGTCATTTTCCGGTGATGTCAGTCATGATGCGAGGAGACCTTGATGACCACATGGAAGACGTCGTTGAAGCCGTGACACCATTGCCACAGATTGCCGAGGTCCCAGTCGCTCCGGTCTCAGGCCCTGATGATTGCTCAGACAGTCGTGCACCTGCGTCCATGACCACTGACTCGAGGAGCACTAGCTGTCTCCACAAGTGCCAGCACTGTCACATGGCCTTCCTGACCCCTGCAGGTCTCGACCAACACCTCCAGACAGATCATGCCACCGGTTCCAGTCCTGACCGCACTCGTGCTGATAGTCGCAAACCTGGACGACAGAAAATGATTCAACAGATGCTTCAGGCTCCTGTTCAGGACCCACCACATCCTCCGCTGAAGCAATATGAATGTCCACTGTGCCAGGAGATTGTCGGCCGTAAGGCCCTATGGGTTCATTTGAAACGTGAACATCAGGCCACGAAACAGGATGCTTTTGAGTTTGTTCCAGAACGTGACATGTTGCCGGGAAGCTTGACCTGCAGACACTGCTACAGCTCGTTCACCATGGAACAGGCCCTGGTTACCCATTTCAAACGAGGCTCCTGTCCTGTCCTCACATGTGAGTGGGCTCGGAAGATGCATTTTGGGTCTCAACCTGAACCTCCGCCACCTGCAGAGTGTCCCAAGGAACCATCCTTGCCCGTACTGCTGCACAGGTACTT